AAGCTCGTTTAGGCTCGCGAGCTCACCAAATTGTTCACGAGCCGAGCTCGAGCTCGAGCTTATTCAAAATTAAACGAGCCGAGCTCGAGCTTGGTCAGGCTCGGGCTCGGCTCGGCTCGTTTACACCCCTAGTCTTCATGATCTAAGCCAAAAACAATCAACGGGTTGTGAATCGAACAAATACAATTATTTTCGCAACGATAATCTTTTTTATTTTTCATCAATAGAAGGAGCTTGCAACCCTTTTATAAATTAAAAATATTATTCCATAAGCTTGAAAAACATGCTTTGGTATTATATTTGTCCTCAATTTATGGTAATTTTACATTAATTTATATTTATTTTTAAGAAAAAATCACATGTTTACTAAAAGATGGACTCAAGCCAACCCAACACCGGTCCATATAGACCCGGGCCAAACAACTAGGGTTCTTTCTCTAGCAATACCGCATTTCTCTGCGCAACCCAAAATTCCGTGAAATTGATCGACACAGCAGCATATCAAAATGAGTTACAAGGCGAGTTTCATCGTCTTTGATTTTCTCGTATCGAGTATCTAAGCATTAAATTAGGTTTTCTGTAACCATCTTCGTTTGTTTGGATCATGATTTTACAAAATGTGGCGATAATTGAATGTGCATTTTGCTGTTTCTATTGCAGTTTTATCAGTTCCAGGTTGTAGGAAGAGCCCTACCTTCGGTGACCGATGAGCATCCGAAGATCTATCGTATGAAGCTTTGGGCCACGAACGAAGTTCGTGCTAAGAGCAAATTCTGGTACATTACATTCGCTTTTTTCTTTCGTGAATGAAAACGTATGCAGTTTTTGATGCATTTGTATTCGCTATTGTATCTTCATAATGTGTTGATTTGTTTTTTGTGTTTGTAAACAGGTACTTCCTTAGGAAGCTTAAGAAAGTGAAGAAGAGCAATGGTCAGATGTTAGCTATCAACGAGGTAAAAAGTCTGTAACTTTTTGTTAAGAGAATCATTTGTGTATATCTATATATGGCACTTATTCATGTGTATGAGATGTATGTATCATATGTACCCATTGTTTCAATTTAAATGTACATGATATGGTGACTTTAAATACTTAATTCTTGGTGAAAATTGGTATATCATTATTTTTGTTAATAATAATAAAAGTATTATTAATAACAATGTTATTGTGATGATATTTTTGTTATCATCATGTTGATTTTATAAATAGGACTCTGATGATTTTTTATACTTAATGTTAGCAAATTTTCAAATGCTAAAGTTGTACATTGCTATAGTTTCATGATTTTTCAAAATACATCGTCTTAATAAGAAAAAAAAAACAAGTACTATATGGTATTATGAACAAAATCAATTCCATAATTCCAAAATTAAGTTCCCTTTGGTGTTCAAGAAAGTTAGACCTCCAACTAGGAAGCTCAAGACCACTTACAAGGCTTCTAGACCTAACTTGTTTTTTTTTTTTTTTTTTTTTTTTTTTTTTTTAAATTTATTTAATTTAATTTAATTTAATTTTTTTAAATTTTTTTAAGTGGATTTGTTTTTTTTTAAAATATAGTTTTGGATTATTTGTAGCTTTTTTAAAAAAGATTTTGGGATTATGGTGTTATGAAAGTACGAGCACAATCTTTTTTTTTTTTTTGGGTGGGACAATATTTCTAAGTTGTCTCATTAGTATAAGTTGCTTGACTTGTTTTTCTTTTTCTATGCATAATAGTAGCAAATACAAGTTTCTGACATATTCACAATTTTTTTTAATCCTTATCGGTATTTACTTATATTTGTTCATTGTATGATCCGCTGAAGCATTACAAAAAAGAGTAAATTACACGAATGGTCCCTATGGTTTGGGATAATTTGCGTGTTTAATCCATAACTTATTTTTTTAACTCGGAAGGTCTCTACTGTTTGTTTTTGTTATGCGTTTGGTCCCTATTTTACCTAAAAAGACTCTTATTTAAATAAGAAAAAATGATGGGGTAGGTAAGGTGAGGTGAGCGGATGAGACCAAACACGAACGGTCCATAACTTATTTTTTTAACTCGAAAGTGACACCCCAACCCCAAAAGGGGGTGTGTTTATTTAAATAAATTAAAAAATAAAGGGAAAAATAGTATTTTTAGAGAAAATAGAGACCAAACACGTAATAAAAACAAATAGTAAGGACCATCCTATTTAAAAAAATAAGTTAGGGACTAAATGTACAAATTACCCTAAACCATAGGGACCATCCGTGTAATTTACTCTATAATTTTAAAACATGCAACATATAACTGCATCCATCAGTTGAATTACAATGTATGCTCACATCACTTTCTTGTAACCCACTTCCTTACCATGCTCCCAACCGGTATGCATTCTAGCCTCGGGAACATTTTTTTCTCATCTGTTTACTACTTGTACTCGATGGTGCAGAAATAGTTGAAGGTGTTGATCCATAACTACTATTCATCATAGCTGTTAAGAAGTAAGAACTAAGAAAAATAAGAAACTAAATAAGCAAAAGCAACTGATTACAATCTGATCTCAAAGATAAGAACAATCAGATTTAAAACTTCAACTATATTAAACTATTAAATTGTGAGCATATAACAGTCTAGCACATTGCTTTTTGAACAAGCCAGAACAACTTGAGTATTAACAAGAAGAGATTGATATGGCAGTGAAAAAAGTTTAGTTCTAGAGTTCACAAACTACGATCAGAGTATCAGATAATCCGACTTTATCTAGAATGTTATCAATGCCTTTTAAGGAAGCAAAACAGTACCATAATAATGTGTAATTGATAATTAAACCATTAAATTGATAGCAGATAGCAGTCTAGCACATTGTCTTTTGAAGCTTTTTTGAAACTTCAAGAGTTCAACAGTTCAACTACACTAATCATTGCTTATTGAAGCTTTTAAAAACGTAAAACAGAATATACTGAGAGACTTTCACAATTTCACATATCATACCTGTAATCGTGTTTTGAAGCTCACAGATCCGTGGAGTCGTGAAGCAGTAGTATTGAGGTTGAGGCGTTGAGTAATTGATGGCTTGAGGCACTACGATTTCAATTTTGCTGGAGAATTTTGAAGTTTTGAATCACATTTTGGTTAATCATAGCTGAAGGGGGAGAGAACTTGAAGCTAGGGTTCGCATTTTACTTCCCGTTTGTTGTTTCCTTTTAGAGTTTTAGAGTTATACTCATTTAATTAGAGTCAAACGAGAAGGGTAGCCGGTCAAATAGTCAACAAGTCAATTAATCAACGTAGGTAGAATCGAAATGCTTACGATTTTATGATTCTGCTACGATTCTACCTAAAAACCAATTTGCTAACATTAGAATCAAAATATGAATGTACGATTGTAGAATTGTATGATTCTACAATCAAAATCGCGTTTTTGATAACCTTACAAAAACCATGTTATATTTGTGTCCATTAAAATTATTTTTTCGTTCCGATTATGGTTAAAGTAATGATTTGCAACGGGATAACCCAAGAAATCGGTTTAACTTTTTAAAATTAAACTTAGTTGATGACATTGTTGACTTAAATTATAAAGCTTGTGTTGTAGCAAAACTATAATTAGAGTTTGTAGAAATTAATGTCATTGCATTTTCTCGCAAAATGGTAGCATTATTATGAGAAAGCAAACAATGTTTTGAAAACTTATGTTACCATTTTTTTTTTTCATTTAGGCTATGCAACGTGTTTTTCATAAATTATCCGGTTGTAAATTATTAATTTAATTAAAATTAGAAAACATAATGCTTTTAATTGACACACAAGTAGGATAATAGTTTTTTAAAAGATTAGGAGATAATAAGTCTGGTTTTTCTGTTTTTTTATTTATTAATAAGAATATGTAATAAAGTTATATATTGGGTTAATCGTAAAAAATACTACAAATTACCAAAATGAGAATGAACGGTTCCTTTGATTTTTGTTTTTGCAAAAGCAATTATCATGCTTACTATTACATTAACGGTTAATCGCACATATTTGTCGTGTTTGCTTAAGAGGGGGTGACTCGGCTATCTCACTCACACACACACACACACATATATATATATAT